ATTAGTCAAAATATTAAATGGCCTGAACGACAACAAAAGGCAAAAATCGCTTGGCACAGAACGTGTTAAATTACAATGTGTGCTTTCTACAACATTTTTGACACATGATTCGAGGACAGAATTTCGAGGACAAAGTCTTCGTCGTGTTTCGCGCGATGTACACTGATCAAACTATAGAGAAAGTATCAGCGAAGAAGAATTATTTGTTTTATTTCATTATCCGCGGTCCAGTAACTGCATGAGTCACTGTGAAAGGCTAGCGAGAAAAGGTCGCAGGTCACCGACAAAGTAAAGTGTTGGTTATTATACAGGTGTCCTTGTTCGCGAAGACCTTGACATCTCGTACTTGTTTAATCTTATTGGACAAAATTAAGATAATTTGTATTGTATTTTAATTTACAGTTTGCGAATATATGTCGTAATTTTACATGAATATGTTCTATTTTTGACGATTCTAATAGTTAGTCACTACGACGTGTAATACTGATAAAAATTATTTTTCACTTCCTGATATTATTGATGTAGCTACTATCGAGAACCATTTATACTGCAAATCACTTTTTATCGATTTTAATTTTTACCGAGGATTATAGGATACTCCCCAGTTGTATAGCAATTACCAGAATGCAGATTTCTAGGGAATTATAGGAAATTCGAAGCACAAAGTGCATGTTACACAAATCAACGAATTACTCTATTTTTAAAAATTGGAATCTCATTTAGCATTTTTATTGCTTTGATGATCTTAAAATTCGTACGATTTCTTATAGAATTTTGTTATCATAATTTATTTCCTTCGTCGCTAAGAAATACACAAATCTTGTTGTTCACACTTTATCGTAAATTACTTTTGTTTTACAAATTATTATACATTTTATTACCGAAAGTTAAAACTTAATGAAGTAGCATCTTTGATTTCACGTCGATGTCGTTAATTATTCTTATAACTGAACGGCAGTAAAGGACGAAGGCAGTGGTTCGTCTGCCACCAGAGTAGTCAACGTCTCTCTTTAATCTAAGTAACTATAATTAAAAGTTATCTGAATCTTATCTGAAATATCCGAGATTTTTCGGTGAGTCCGTCAAAGGCCCCACAGACCGTTGACAATTTAGATAACCCTGTCAAAAAAAGAAAAAAAAAA